GAAGGAGAAGCAGCGCCCCCCGGCAGCGTGTCAGTAGTTTTTATTATCCATAGCATCCGTACACGTACCAGGTGAGCGACCGCCCTGCACGCCCCGCGCTGCCCCACCACGCGCGCGAGCAGGGCCTGGGCATTTTATAAATTACACCCCCCAGGCTGCACGGGGCCTCGCTGCAGCAGAGACGTCAGGGCTAGGTGGGCGATGGTGACGGGGAAAGGCGCGGGCAAGGCCGCCTCGTTGACACTGCGCTATTTTTTCTGGTCTATTCCCGCACGCGGCGACTCCTGGGTGGGAAGGACGGAGAGGTTTTCCTCAGGCCTTTTAGTTCTTCTGGTAGTAGAACCACTTGTCAACTGTGTGGGGCAGAAAAAGAACAAGTAAAGATGGCAGCTGAGCTGTTGTTTTCTTACAGAGTCGCAGCCCGAGGTGTCAAAAGGCACACTCGCCAGGTGACAGAGCTCCCATCAGCAGGTTCGGCGGCAACTCGCCCCCCCCTTTACCCGCCTCACGTCCCCAGGCAAGCGAGGCAACAACAGCAGTGACCCAGGAATTAAACCCCAAGTCACCGAGAGCTGGGTGCGGCTCTGGCAAGAGCCTCATTTTCCTATCGCTAATAGGGGACATCAGGACAGAGACGCGGGGTGCAAGACTGACCTTCGGGTGGGATGGGGTTGGCAGCTCTACACGGCGGTGCCTGCAAGGAGAAACGTGTTAGCAGACGGCAAGCGCTGAGGGAGGCTGCCCCGATGCCTGAAGCCCGCTAGACACCGCTGCGAGCCGCGCGTGTCTTGACCGAGCACGGTTTAAGCTCTAAGCAGCGTGAATGGGTCAGCTGCGAGGGAATAAATGAGGCCACGTCACCCCCACTGCCTCCTCATCCTGGACACGTCCTGCATGCCGGAGGGGCTCTGCTCCAGGCACAGGCTGCTCCCCAGGGCGAGGGGTTACCCCACCGGCGCTCACCCAGTTTCAGCCAGCCGGCTTTTTTGAAAACCCCACTGTGATGGTGGGACAGAAGTACAAAGGACTCCCAAAAACTTCTCCAAAGAGCTCTCACCCGACATTTGGCAGCCAAAGGCCCCCAGCTGGCGACGCAACTTGCATGAGGGTTATGCTTTTAAAAACTTGTAAAGTAATTTGGATACCACCAGAGGATACAAGCCCTCATAAAACCAAGATGATGACGATGACGGGTGGCCATGGAGAGGCTCTGGTTACCAGTCACATTCCCACACGCTGAGGCAAGCATTTGCGTTTGGATTTTCCTGCCCCATTCCTCCAACCCCTTTCAAGTTGCCAACGACGGTTCTGCGCAAGCCCAGGGAGAGGCAGTTTAGTCCGGAAACCGTCGGGGTACGACACCGGGAGCTTCGAGCTTCCCGTTGCAAAGGATGCAAGGCGCTCAGACATCAGACTCTTCTCAAGGGGCGACCTGCGCTGTGAAGCTCTTGGAAGGCCAAATACTTGCTACGGTTCCAAAGTTGAGCCCTTCACGCAAACTCTGTTTTGGATGCCCTCTCCCAAATGACTAAGGGCAAGGAAAAGACTCTGGAGGAACGCCTGGCTTGCCCCACATCCACCCCGTTTAACCAGAAACAGGCGCTGTGTTCAGTCATCCAAAAAATTCCGAGCGTACGATGCGCTATTTGCACAGCCAGGACAGTTTACACAAATCGTTATCGTTTCACCTGACGTTGGGGGTAGAGCATTCAGGTTTTTTAGTTTTGTACCTACCGCATCCACCGTAGCTTTTGCACACTCCTGGCTACAGCAGAAAGGGCTTTCAGACACCGTCAGATTTGTGCTAGAAGAGAAAGGTCGCTTGTGAGAACGTGAAAGCCAAGTCTCCCCCCTCCGCCCCCCCCTCAGGAGTATTAAATAATGGAATATTAAGAATCATCGTGATAGTTGCCAAGCAGAAGGGGACGGCCTGCGGAGACAGCCGGCAGCTGACAGAAAGCACGGCACCATGCAGGAAAGGAGGTTTCGGGGTTATGTTTTGGGGAAAGGAAGGCGCACAGTACCATGGGTATTAACCTACCAGTTGATCTCCCCGCCGTCGGTTTTCTTTGCTATTAAAGCTTTCCAGTGTTCGTGAGTGCTTTTGATGACGCTCAGCGCAAAATCCTGAAGTTGGAGATGAGAACAAACATCACGTGTAAGCGCTAGGCCATTTTCTCCAGACTATCTGTTACGCGGAACGAGAGGCTGGTATTTATAAGCCGATTTTAGATCGTTTCTGACTCTGGAAGGGACTCAAAGAGACCTCCCTCCATTACTGCGCCTTTCAGGAACGACAGCAGCAACCTCCCAGAGCACAACAACTGGACAAATGGTGATTTTATAACAGCAATTGTTTTACTTTCGAGATGGGAGGATACGCCAAGGTCACCTCGCGAGCTTGAAGCCAAAAGAAACTGAACACTGACATTTGAGTCTGGGGCCAGCGCTTTATTATAAAAGCACCTCCGCCCCGCTGCTCTTCCCGCTCAGTTTGTCTTTGGCAGCGACTAGCTGATCCCAACCTATCCGCAAGCTTTCTTCCACTCCAGGCAAATTGTTCAACTGCTGTGCAGATCAACGGGAAGACACACGCACCTCATCTAGCCACGCAATTATTTAAAACCGAAGCTGCTTCCAAGTGTTATCACAGCTTTTTTTCCTCAAAACCAGTATTACGTGGTCAAGCATTAACTTGTCAGCTGGAGAAGGAAGCGCGCACAATTCTTTGCCAGTGTGAACACCAGCAATAAATATCCTGGTTTGATACCACACAGAGCCAAGTAAAACATGGCAGGAATCTGTGTGAGGTTCTTTGTCCCTGCTTTCCGTCTCGATTCCGGTTTCACCCATCCTGAGGGGGCAGCAAGATGTCCCAGCCCACCCAACCTAGTGCCAAGGTACAGCTGAGGGGGACAAGTCTACTGCCACACGACTTCCATTTTTCCCCCCCGCTTTTACCCTTTCCTTTCCTTCCTTTCCCACTCCAGGGTTGCCGGGCCCTCCCCTTCCCTGCACCGCCTGCGGAGCGCTGGGAGCAGAGTCACTCCCTAACCCGCTCCCAGCACACCAGGACTGGCCAGAGGGAGGGCGCAGAAGCGGGATTTCTCCCGTTCAGGAGCAGTAAGTGATCCGACCCAACCCAGAGAAGAGGCAGAGCGATGACGCTGCCAAGGCAGAGCTTTACTCAAAGGGCATGAGGGAACACTTTACGCCTGAAGGAAGAAGCGTTTTAACTCCTGCGTAGTCAACTTGCAGCAGGCTGCAGCGGAACAAAGCCAGTGAGCAAGGGAGGCAAAAAGGGCGATGTCAAGCAGCCTTCGCCCCAGAGCAGGAGCAGAGAAACCTGGCGTGTTCCACCCCAGTTCTGACATGGAGGCTCCCAGCCCTGAAATGATCCCAGATGAACAGCATCTCGAAGAAAAACTGATACTACCCAACAGCAGCCGGGCAATAGCCCCACACTTTGTCTCCTAGCATTCCTGTCTGGGAACGAACAGAACGGTAGGCTGGAAAAACAGCAGGAAGAATGGCATCAGCTATCAGCAGCCCCGTAGAAGCCCACTCTCTCGGTGACTACTCACTCGCGTCCCCACCCACCGTGTGCTCAGGTTCTGGACAGCATGCCTTTGCTCACAGTAATGAAGGCAGGCGATCCTACCTTGTCTTTGAATTCGCCATTAAAAGCAAACTGGTTTTCCGGCTTTCCGTCGGGTACTTTGTATCTTCTGAACCAGTCCACTGTAGCTTCTAAGTATCCAGGTTTCATCCTTCTGACGTCATTGATGTCTAGCCGAGGAGGGAAGGTTTGTTAGCCTGATGTGGTAACAGGAGTGACTTAGCCACTGCCCTGCTCTTCTGAGCTGCCCCTTTCAGCCCCTCCCTCCAGCAGCCTTAGCAACATTTCAGGCAGGTTACAGTAACGACACAGAGTGGGTGTCTGCACAGGGAAGCCAGCGTTTCACCTCCACAGCATATCCTGATGGCCAGGAGGCACGGACACGTTTAAACAGCTTTGATTAGAGTCTTACTGGACAATCCCTTTCCTTCCACTCAAGAGGACAGGCCACCCTCTTCTTCGAGACGCCAGGCTGTGCAGAGGACTGACAGTTTGGAATAAACCAGCAGTAAAACGTTTTGCTGTAGGACTGGCAACATCCTATTCTGCTCTCCTTCCAGTATCACATCTGATGAACACCGTGGCACAGAAGGAGCAAGGTCCTGACCTGACCTGAAAGGCTCTCAAGGGAGAAGGAGAAGCAACCCTCGGCCTGCTCCTCCCTGCTGTTTCTTACCATTATAGTTGTCTGCTTCAGGGTCTTCAACGTTGATAGCGATTATCTTCCAGTCCGTCTCTCCCTCATCGATCAGTGCCAGCGTGCCCAGCACCTTCACCTTGATGACTTCTCCTCGAGAGCAGACCTGCAGGGACAAAGACCTCGTCGCCTGTCTGTCTGCATCCAAGGAATGCGCAACAGGAGACCGCGCAAGCTGTGAGAGCTCAGCAAGCAGTCAGGTACCACGAAATCTGCTATCACTTATCAGGGGTTCGGGAGCCCTGGCTCACAAGGCTCGTGCTGCAAGATCTCATCAACGATCTCCAGAGGCAAGGGAGGGGAACATCACATTCTGAAGGTAGAGGAGGCAGGAACTGAATAATGTCTCTGGATCATTGACTTCAGAGACATTAATTACAGGTTTCAAAAGACAGTTACCCCTTAAAAATGCATTACCTTGCTTCCGATTTCACACACATCGATTGGATCGTTATCTCCACAGCAGCCAGTATTCTCATCTTTGTGACCCGGGTCTTCCCAAGTCTGGAAAAAAAAAAAAAAACCCCAACCAAAAAAAACCACAGAGGAATGAGAACTCTCGTGTTTCAATAGGAACCAAAAAGCAGGTCCATTTCAGGCATGCAGTTGCCTCTAAGACACAGATGATGGCCCACTTCACACTTGCTTTCAAGTCTAGCGGTTGGCCTACTGTTTCACTTGCGCCTGCAGAGGCAGTCTGAATCCAAGTTAAAAGGTGTCTTATCTTGCCAAGAGTAAGCTGCTCCCTCCCACTGACAAACCTTTTTCCAACTCCTTTCCAGACTTCCTCCCCCGTTACGCAGCTGCATAAAGGTGAAGCTCACATCTACGAAGAACACTCATCGATTTGGCTGCCTGCCTGGTCCTCTCCCTATTCCTTTCTTAACAGAAGTTTCCTGAACTCCAGATAGCAGTCCAACAGAGATGGAAAACAGACAGGGTGTATCGTTTCCTTTTAATTAAACAATTTAAAGACACCTTTGTTACACTAGAGCGGTGACAAGAACTTGGAGTCCCATACCCTGTGCTACCCAGAGTCCTAATGCAATCCCTGCTTAGAGACATGGTTTAGTGGTGGGAAGGCAGGGTGACGTTAGCGGTTGGACTTGATGATCTTAAAGGCCTTTTCCAATCTAAATGATTCTGTGATTGCATCTCACCTGAAGCAGTGAGCATAAGTCGAACAAGAGGACTGCAGAAGGTGTTTGAGGCCGTGCCTCTGAAAATAACAGCTGCTTAAAACACGCTTCTGATCAGGAGTGAAAAGGACACTGCGCCCACTTGCATCAGAAGGAGCATCTACCTCTAGGGTGGTTGAGACAGAAGAAGAAGGAATGCTCTTCCCAAATCTCTGTGTGCCAGGACACAGCCAATACAGTTGAGACCTCGTGATGCATTCAGAGCATTTGGGAAGATGTACTGAAACCCGGGTGGTGCTGAAGGACCCTTCGCAATTGCAATCGCACTTCTCTGCAAGGAAGTGTTAAGTTCAGTTCCTCCCCCTTGATGCATAAACATCTTTGATCCACTAACACGTGACTGAGCGAAGGCTTCAGAAGCCGTAATTCTGTACAAAGAAACTGGCTCCAGAATCCATCCGAGTAGAAAACACTTTGACTTCGAAACACCGTCTTAAGCCACTTGGAGAACACGCTCGATGTGCACTGCTATCAAGACTGGAATTACAAAATCCATCAGCATGTTTCCCTGTGAACCGTCGCTGCCAATTTACTTCTCTAAAGGAAACTCGGACCTTAGAGAACATCAGAGGCAAACAGCCTTGCTCAAAGGTCCTCTTTACCTAGCAGTCACCAGCCAGCTGAGAGCACATATCCAGGTGTCACCATCTGTCTGTCCATGCCCCCTTGCCAGCTGCTTCAGAGAAAGCGCATCTGCGCAGCTGCAGACATCCACCTCCTGCAGTCTCCGGACTTCTGAGTGCCTCTCTGCCACTCACATCCAACACCAAGAACAGGGCACCTACCACCATCCAACAGCTCGATACGTTAGTCTAGCTGCGTGTGTTAGACCCTGAGCAATTAAGAGGGGCAGAAACAGGAAAGACAGAGTCTTCAGATCTACTCAGATTTTCACTGTCCACACATCCCAAGTCTGAAACAATCAGCTAATTCACTGCAAGAAGAATAGCCTATAAAGATTTGGCCTAAGGGCCGTACACCGAGATCCTGTACCATCAGCTTAAAACTTCAGCTCTTTACGCTTCAGCAGGCAGGAACCGCAGGCATTGCGCTGCCAGATGCCCAGTTCCTGCTGTAGTGACAGCTTCCTTTGCCCAAACACAAGGACCTGCCAGCTACTGTCCAACCAAACTGCCGAGCAGCCAAGGAGAGGAGTGACACAGCAGGGACCTCACTAGCAGCAGCTGCTCAGCCTCAGACAGCTTGGCTATGGCATTAGCTACAAGCCTGCCTCTCGAGATTTCTACTTAAAAGTACCCCTGCTTTCTTGACAGGTTCTCTTCATTAGCACGATCTACAAACGCTGTTCCAGATCGGGCTCAGACGACCTTTTGGCTCATTAATACAGCAGCAGAGACACACGGAGGCATCCTCCCACCTCCCCCCCAGAAAGGATGGGCCACTGAGAGACGTTACTGTACCTGTGGGATAGCACCGTAATTCCAGATATAACCCTTATGGGGAAACACGTTAGCTACATAGCGCAGTTTTCCTTTCTTCACATCTTGCTTAATTGGGTTTAAGGGATCCTTTGTTGCAATCTGAAAGAAAAGTTACATCAATCTCTCTACTTTGCTCTCTAAGAAAAACCAAGTGGTTTTTTTTAACGAAGCTGGCTGCTGACTGGCGAGCCAAGAGGCCAGGACCTGACCCTGGAGTCAAGAGCAGATATCAGATGACTCCATTTCCTATTGCATTGCCATCTCCCGGGATATAGTTTTCAGTAGACTTACAAACGGGGTTGAGAGCTGTAAGATGCTGCTTTAATCAGAAGCCGCAGAAGAATACCAAGTTATTCCAACTTCTGCAAGTCCCAGCCTCCATACTAGACCTCTAGCATAAAGCAAGTATTTACAGGAGAAGTGAGAAACCGCTGCGCCTCAGGAGGTGGACTTGAGAAGGAGAGAATCAGCAAAGCCAAAGATTAATAGACGTGTCAGCTCAAGCACTTAAGCTAGGAACTGTAATATAGTTACCTCTGTAATATAGTTACCTCCATTTTAGCATTTGTCCATCGAGGTACTTCCACAACCATGTTGAACACATTCTGAAGAAAACAAAATATCGGTGAATGGGGAGGAATCTCAAGACCACACTTTAAACTATGGTACACAAATACGTAAGTAAGCCTGAAAACCAGCCAGTTCACACGAAAACCACAACTTTTTTTTCTGGTGCCGGTTTCAATACAGTTGACAGAAGTCCCATAGTTCGGTCAGTCACAAGTCATCACTCAAAGCTGAATCCCATGAAAGACAGCAGCAAAAGCCAGACCAAGGTTACCCATGCATGCTCCATCAGTTGCCCCGCACGAACATCTCCATCACATTCCCAGGTTACGGAACAGGAGGTTTAAGTGAATCAAAGGCAGCTGCATACAAACCATCCCGGGCATAACAAAGCGAGGTTTTAGGCATATTTATTAAATACAAAGGACCTAATGCTACAGCAAGAGCCACCTTGGCAATTTAGAAGAGAGAAGGCTTACAGGAGTAAGCCTAAGCCATCTATCTGGTAACGCACTATCCTGAATGACAGAGAACGTCACTCCCAAATACTCTAGCCTGTCTTGAAGTAGAGAGAGATGCCCGAGCTTCCCCCCTTCCAAGCCACCAGACCTGGTTAGCAGCACGGTGCAAGGACAGAGGTGTGGGGGAGAAACGCGGAACATCTCACAGCATCTAGTTTACGGGTGATGCTTGAAAACATCTCCTGTTGACTCCAGCTGGGCTGAGAGGACTCTTGAGAGTTCAACGTCAAGAGCCTCCTCTTCAAGAAAACAAGCTTCTCCACGCTTGAACCTTAACATTTGCCGTTTGAAGAGATTATGGCTTTTAACAAAAAGTCAGACCTTGCTCCCTAGCATCGACAAGGCTTCTAATCTCCACGCTAAGCAGCATTAGCGCTGCAAAATCCCTCGCACCTGTATTGCACCATTAGACTGATATTGTGCAACGAGTGCTATTATATCATTGACTTTGCCCACGCCCTTCCCTAACAGAAGTCTATCGCATCCCCTTAATCTCAAGGGGTGTTACCGCTCATTCGGAATTTAAAAGTAAAAAGGTCTACACTCTTTTTATTTGGGAGTAACTCGAGGAAAGGAAGGAAGCAATTGGAACTGGCTAGGCAGGGTGCTTACAGCTTTGCAGGCAAGGGAAGATGACTTGGGGGTGCATCTTTGCTAGGCTCGCAGTTTCCCCCCAGTCCAACTGACAGGATTTGCCTTGGTCTAAGACACCCAGTGAGTAGCCCCAAGGTCACTCCTTCGCAATGCCAAGACACGCAGGTACAGATAAGGTCAGCACATCCCAGCCCTAGACTGAAAAAAACCACTCTGCAATCCTCTCAGTGTCTTAGAAGATACGATAGGATAAAGATCAAGGAGCCCAGACAGGGTAAGACAACCTTTTTTTCTCTCCAAGCTGGGCTCCCTCCCATAGCTGGCAATGAACCTGCTAAGCAACGGGTAAAATCCCTGCAGAGAGGCACCCCAGCAACAGAAGGAGGTCTAATGTGATCAGCACTCTTGTGTAACTTGCGGGACTACGACCTTCAGTGATCCTTGCTTCTCTTAATGACTTGGCACGGAGATGCCGGCAAGCCACGCTAAGCGCCCAAAGGCATGCCACCAGTCATCCAGTTTCCCTTGTTAATCATTACCAGTCTGCGGAAACCCTCCTCACCCTTCTACTTGCTCCCCTGCTTGGCGAGCGTCTGCAAAGCATAGTATTATCTGGGTTTTCCTTGTCCCAGTTACCTTTCAGACACCTGCTTTTGAAAACTGCTTTCCCAGTGGGCCACAGAAACAGCTTTGCTGCTGTCCCTGATGATCACAATCCGTCTTTTCCCTCCGAGCAGGCAAAAGCCACCTCAGACTTCCCAGAGCATATTCTGACAACACCCCAAAGCTAAATCAGCTACTTTTGAGAGGTTCAACTCTCAGTTCTGCATATTCTTTTCCTTTCCCGTAACCACTCTCTACTTCCAAATTACACCCCTCTCTATCACGAGCATTAGAACGGTTCATCCACTACGTCCCTCACGCTGCACAGCTTTTTAGTACCTGCTAAAGAAATGAGCTACAAAGGTAAGGAACCCAAGTCAGAGAAGCCCCAGTTACCACTGAAAAAGCATTCAGCAAAAACTGAAGCACAGCCATTTCAGTTTCCTAGAGCTGGGGCACTTTAGACTGATTCAGAACAGCCTCATGGGACTGACTGCTGGCTGGCGGAAGGATGTAGAAGGCCTGCATCACTGCACGTTCCCCAGCTGAGTTTTTTATGAGGCGAGAGGTCCCTGGGAGCTCCTACAGCAAGAATTTTAACAACCTCACCTCCTGTTCAGCAGCTGATTATACGTCAGGCATAAAGCAGCCTTAACTGCAGTCAAAACCCAAGGCTGAGATACCACGCAGCATGAGCATGCGCCTCCACAGGAGCGGGTGTAGGTATTTACTGAATGGAAAATGGGTTTCTTTTAAACCAAAACGCTTTCGTGCGACCCCACGGCCGCGTTCAAGACCACCACTCCTATCTCGGGCACAAATATGAGAATGAGATCATCCGTTCTCTTCTCCTGCTGTCGCCCTACCGGAGACCTGTGAGAAAAGGGTTCTTTGGAAGATCTGGAGATGCTTCCCTTCAGGCGGGTCCTGCTGGGAAGCTGTGTAAGGAACTGGGAGCCTCCCTCGGGGATTTCAGGCCCGCAGAACCGAGGAGCACTGACAAAATACTCACCCCCGGGGCTCAGAGCACCCGCGGTTGCTCTTCTTACCGGGCCCCAACCACCCACCCGGCCTGGTGCTCGTTGCTCTGGGGCCCTCTTACCTTGCCGGCGTCGGCGTAGATGGGGATATCGTGGAAAGGGGAGATGTAGCGCCCGGCAGCGTCCTCTGGAAGGTGAGGA